GTAAGCACGCAGTCACCTATCACAAAAGCCATAGGGTGCAGAGGAAACACAGGCCCTGCCATCCATTTAACATTCTGGGGGTGGGCCTATGAGTATCTACTCCAGTGCTTGAACGGTTGGCGACAGGGACGGTAATTTCACAGAGCCTGAGCTGCGGATGACTGGGAGGCCCAAGGTTGGGGTCCAGGGTGTTGGGTGGCTGGAAGGGTGCGCCTTCATTTTCGTGAGCACGGGAGTGGGGCCAGACTTGGCAAATATCTGGCATCAGGGAGGCTCGAATTGGGGCTGCACACCTGATTCTTCATACCCTTGTCTCTGTGTAGGCCCCATTTCCCGAAGTCTGTCTTGGGGTGTTGGCTACTCTGTGTTTTTTTTTTAATTTTATTTTTGTTGCCCGGCCGGGCGTGGCTCAGCGGTTGAGTGTCGGCCTAGGATCCAGGCGATCGGGGTTCGATTCCCGGTCAGGGCACATGCCCGGGTTGTGGGCTCGATCAATGACTCTCTCATCATTGATGTTTCTCTCCCTCTCCTTTCCTCTCTCTGAAATCAATAAAGATATATTTTTTAAAAAAATAATTTATTTTTGTTTAAAATGTTACAGATGTCCCTTTTTCTCCCCAATGCCCCATTCCACCCTGTCCCACTCCTCTTCCCAGGCCCTCCCCCCACCATTGTCCGTGTCCTTGGGTTGTGCATATACTCGTATAAATTCTTTGGTTACTCTCTCCCCTCCCCGCACCCGCCCTAGTCTGTTTGTGTGTGTGTGTGTGTATGGCCAAGTGAGATCACTTAGGTGGCTCTATGTGTGATTGCTCCTGACTAAACTTGAATTTGAATTTATATACATAAATAAACTTTCACTAGCTTTTGCTGGTTTGGCTAGATTCACCTTTTGGTGCTTGAGTAGGTTGAAATCCCCACTACAATTTGGGTTTGTCAGTAGCACTTCATTTGTTCCATTATTTTTTTTCTGTGTTACATTTGAAGATATTTTATGAGCTCTATTACACATTTAGAATTTTTTTTCCTCTGAATTAAACCTCTTGTTACTGTCTAGTGGCCTTCTTACTTTCATATAATGATCTCTTTCTTCAACTCTACATAGAAGTTCATTAACTCAACTTTTAACATTTGCCTGATAAGAATTTCTCTTCCTTTTATTGCCCCACCTCCTAACACCCCTGTTTATTTTTATCCTGGAAACATTTCGCCTCTCTTATGAAAAGTACATCTCACAGTGCAGTTCCTGCCTTCGCGATGCCTTACGATGCATTACAGCAGGCCTCTACGTCCCCCGCGAGCAGGGCCAGCTTTCCTGAGCGCCGTGTCCTCTGAGACACGAAGCTTCTGCTTGGGCGCTGCCTCCCGTGAGGGGTCATCACAGCCTCTCCGCTGCTGGAAGCGCCGGCACCCCAACTACCTGGTGCTGGAGGGTTTGCTTTCAGAGAATCGGTTAGGGAGATTCAGGGTTCCTCAGAGGTGAAACTAAAGACCTTACTACCAGTACTTTTTAAAATTAAATGTATTGGGGTGACATTGGTTAATATGATCACACAGGTTTCAAGTGCACATTCCTATGATACATCGTTTGTATATTGCACTGGGTGCCCACCACCCACAGTCAAATCTTCTCCCATCACCATATATTTGACCCCCTTTACCCTTTACTTCTCTGTCCCCTGCCCAACCCCCTTCTCTCTGGTTGCAAATAGAACTTGGTTACAAGTTGGAAAGTCCCAATGTTATACTTATAAATAATTAAAACCCAGGAAAATGTAAATTCAAGTATTTAAGAGCTTTGCAGTTGACAAGATCCTCTTTTTGTCCTGGGGGACTACTTTACATTTTTTACAGTTAGGAAAGTAACATCAGTTGAATACCTATTTATATACCAAGCACTGTCCATATAACACTATAGTTTGATTCTGTTTTATAATAGTGGAAACTAACATTCAGGAAATAAGGGAAACTGACCCAAAGTCACAGAGAGATAAAATGTGATTTTGGAAAGCAAGAAAACCTCAAATATAAATTTAAGAGAAAACCTACCATTTCCTAAGTGATTTTTAAGTTTGAGGCAGTGGTAAAACCAGTGCAGATGGTTCATTTAAGGCTCATGTAAACCCATCAGGGAGCTATTATTATTGCCTTTTAGTCTAGGAATTGAAAGCTCACAAAGGTTAAATAATTTGTTCAGGTCAATCAGCTTTAAATTGCAAAAATGACATTTAAAACTAGGTCTGACTTAAAAGTCCTAACCGTGAGGTGACAGATTCTCACCCTTAAATAAATCTCAAACTTCACCACCACCAAATATTTTTCATCAGAACCTCGCTCCACTGGAAATATTTAAAAATAAATATTTTTAAATCAGAACCTCACTCCATTGGAAGGAAATATTTAAAAATATTTTTTATCAGAACCTCACTCCCCTATCCCCTGCCAGCATACATGCACCTACAGGACAGCCTCCTTCCAGCTCATAGCAGAAACAAGCCTGATAGTTTCTTGGAGTATGCCAAGTGTTTTCTATGCCAAAAGGAGGCTGGGATGATGGGATTTGGAGTTGGGGATCTTTCTTCAAATCCTGGTTCTAAATACTCCGTCTGTGGTCTCAGAAAACCACAATGAGTTTCAGTTTTCATTACCATGACATAGGCCAGTCATACCTCTCAGGGGGCTGTCATGACTGTTAAATGAGATGACAGAGGTAAGAGCTCTAATGCTGAGCAGGTATTCCGTTGGTGGATGCAATATAATATAAGGCACCATCCTCAAAGTGTGGACTGGGAACCTTCTGGAGTCCTTGAGACCCTTGCAGAGTCTGTGAGTTCAAAACAATTTTCATAATAATACTAAGGCCTATTTACCCCTTTCCGTGAGTTTACAGTGGTATTCTCCATAGGCTACAGATGAGATGTCACAGTAGGTTGGGTACAAAAGAAGTTAAGAGGGTCCACTCATTTTCCATTAAGTGGGACAGAAGCAGTGGTTCCCAAACTCTGCTCTGCATCAGAGTCACCTAGAGATCTTTGAAAAAGATTGGTGCCCGCTCCCACCGCATTCTGATTTCATTGGTATAGGGTAGCATGTGGTGCGTTGCGATTTATAAAAGTTTCTCAGGCGATGTGAATGGAGAGTAAAGTTACATGGGGATTTGCTTTTCAATGGGTATCAAGTTTTTGTTATGAGGATGAGTTCTAGAGAGCTTCTGTACGACAGAGGACTTATAGTTAATAATACGGTCTTGTGCACTGTGAGATATGTTAACAGGATAGATTTCATGTTGTGTCCTTACCAAAAAAACAAAACCCAACAAAAGAACACAAGGAAATTTTTGGAGCTGATGGATGTGTTTAGTATCCTGGTTACCGTGCCATCGGAAGGATGCATACATTAAACGTGTGCAATTTTTTGTATACAAACTATAACTCAATACAGCTAAAAAAAAAAGAAAAGAATGTTAAGTAATCTATAAAAAGAGGTTTGCAAAATATGTATCAGTGCTACTCTCCACACTAATTGTTTTCAATTTTGGAAAATATAGTTATGTTAAGAAAAGGTTTATTTGTAGTACTACGTAATGAGTCTTCAATAATATGAGTATAAAAGGGGTTCCAAGACCAAAAGTTTCAGAGATGTTGGTATAAGAGTTGAGACCTTGGGCCCTGGAGCCACACTGTCTGTTGATATCATGGCTCTGCCCTTGCAAGGTTCGTGACCTTGGGCATATTACTTACCTTCGCTGTGCTTCGGCTTCCTTGCCCATAAAATAAGTATCATAATAAAATTCGCCTCTTAGGATTTTTGTGAGATTAAATGAGTCATACACATTAAACACTTTTCACCGTGCCTGGAACACTGTAGTAGTTTTCACCAATACTTTCCCTCACTATTGTTACTATTGAGTTGTTACAGGTGCATAATATTGAACCTCTACACGATCAATGTAAAATTTGTGGGCCAAGCCATTCTTCTAACCAACTCATCTTCATAGGGGCACTTATACTTTCCAAAGATTGAGCACCTGAATTAATCTGAAATATAATTATATTGCTTATAAAGTTGTAGAACACATATACTTAGGTGAGCAGGGATTTAAGTTTTTTCCCTTAGGCTTCTTTCTCCTGGGCCTTTGCGCCCTGCACTCCCCTTGATCCCGGACTGAAGCAATTAAGGAGGTGGCGCAGCTGTGGACAATGGGTTAAGATATCACCTTATGGAGACATCGCCAGGCCACCCAGATCAAAGCAGTGAAGATCTCACCTTATGGAGACATCCCCAGGCGACCAAGATCAAAAGAATGACCTCCAGGACCGCATGTAGCTGCATTCCGGTCCCAGCCCCAGTCTGCCCCACACAGCCCTGTCCCTCAGGCCACCTCTAAGACAGGTTTTGGATGCTCGCATGCCCGTCTTCTCGGTCGGCGGCCTTCTCAATAAACGCCTTATAGGATTCACCCCTGCCTCCTGAATTGGACACAGCGATATAGGATTCACCCCTGCCTCCTGAATTGGACACAGCGACATAGGATTCACCCCTGCCTCCTGAATTGGACACGGCGACAGCGACAGGCTGCCCGAGCCCCACCGGGGTGTCCCGGTAACAATCTGTCTGTAGGACAGAGGAGCAGGAACCAGGAGGCCGAGCCTCTCAGAGAAACCCGCAGGAGCTGGGCCCTGCACGCTGGGCTTCGGTTCCTCTCTGTTTGTCGCAGTGGCAACACCACGCCACAGTTCTCTAGGCCAGTGAACGCATGATTGACAGAGGAGGCGACACCAAGGCGACCATGTGATTCGGGCCTCGGAGGAGATGGCATTGCAGAGAGGCAGGATGTGTTTTATGAGCCAAAATCTTCCCCAGTCCTGCTCCTCCGAGTCCCTCCCCTTTGCTTCAAAGAATCGCCAGCCTTAAAATCCTGTGCTCCGTTTGGCTTTTCCTCACAACCACAACTCGTCTCTCCACGACATGATAACACTTCTTTATTCTCACAGTGCTTTTCAACACCATTCCTCACAATCACAACAGTCAAAGGATTTACTACAAATTGAGAAAGACATAGCAATGAGTAGCTGAATAATGCTGAAGGCTATCAACATAATCAAAATTCCCTGTAACAGAAGAAAAAGAAGAGTCATGGTGTTAGCACAGTAAAGGTTTTTCAGATGATAATTAAGTAGCAGTACCCAGGTAAGAAAGCTCCTCCACATCTCAAGTGTGCCTCACGCAGGCTCACAGGCCCTGGTTTCTCTCTTTCACTGCACTTAGCCTGGGCCCGGGTTCCACATGGGCGACGCGGGCGCACGGCCTTGAGGCATGAGCAGCTCTGCTGCTCTTAGGCATTCCACTGACAGGCTTCAGGCTAGGCTTTCCTCTAAAAAGTGACCCGGGAGTTCCAGGTGACTTTGCAGCTCTTCAGGGGCATTTAAGTGGTTTTAAAACGAATCTCAGAGAGAAGGAGGGCGGCGGGGGTGGAGGGGGAGAGATT